ATTATATGAAGAGTCATTTTAGTCTACACTACAGCTCTACACCGAAGCGAAGCGAGGGCGAGCCACTAGTAAAAAATTAAATTAGAGAACCTCTTCCGTTTTGAAATCTATTATAATAAGTAAGAGCTTCCGAATTTTATTCCACATTCCAATTTATCGACAAAACAAAAATAACAATGACCGTTTACCTGTAAAATTTCCTCTCAACGAAAGCTATCCCATATCCAAAATGCAATCTCAATTTCAAGACATTCAATCATATGTACGGAGCACTTAAACAAATTCATTGATTAAACGGTGTCATATCGGAAAATGTTTTACATATTTTCAAACCAAACTCAATTAGAGTGGAAAAATAAAAAACACAAGTTGATACGAAAATTTGTAAGCGTTCTCGTCGTGTCGTCACAGTATTGGCGCATTCCCAAACGAAACTGTTAGATCATAGATACAGATATTAATTTAATTTGTTACTTAACATTGAGAAGGGGAAAATATTAAACTCGCCGTTGGAACTACACTGCATTAAATATATCGTCGCGGTAAAATAAAAACGCGACGGGAAGTGTGCGCGTGCGCCGTCGTCACTGATTTTCTTAAGCGCGCGCGTGTGTCATTGCTACCTATCTGCTCTACATGCGTGAAAAATAACTTCCGTCGTTGAAAATAATACTATTTCACTTCATACATTTTTCATTACTTTTTAAGCTGTCCTCATTTGTATCGTAAGGCTTAATGTGCAAGTAAAAAATGGTTTGAGAATATTTAAGTGGGTTTATACAGGGAATATACTTATTAAGAGGTTTTTGTTTTATAACACATTTTTAGTTACGTATAAATATCAAGTAGGTTTTCATTAATAATGTATCAAATATAATATATTAAGTTGTTAAGTTATATCAAACAGGAATACTGATAGCTGAGCGCTTAATACAATAAGTATTGTTTTTACATACATATAGAAATGTCGTAAATACTTAAAAAAAAAACTTACATTAACGTTCTTAATACATGCTCTTTTCACTGTCAGTCATATATTATCCATTCACATTGGGATAAAGTAAGTAGGGGATACTATACTAATGTTGGCCCCTCACAATGAGTGGCCCTCTTGCATTTATACTAAAATATAAAGAAATGTATAAATAAAATACTGACCATGATACCCTTTTATTATCCTTATTCGCAGTCCTTCAATCTTTATTAAAAAAATTAGTTATACAATGGAATTTTTTGAAAAAAAAATAAACAATAAACAGATTGCCGTTCGCACATGCTACGAAAAGGCAGCCAAAAAGGATAAGTGTTCTTGAACACGTTATTTTCTAACTTAATTTTTAATTTTATAGACATAATAAGTAAAATATTACTTCATACTGCATAGATAAAAATTGTATTTAAGCAGCGTTACACCTAAACTTAAACAAAAGATCAAAGCAAAGAAAGGCACACCAACCTTTCTTTACTATGCCAATTGAAGTTATTCTGTTGTTTTTGATATATTTGAATACATATTAATATTGAGCATTTTCAAGTCCTTTCATGTTGGTACTTAACCCCTATTTAATAGCATTATGGAACCATATTCAATAGAAAATTAAAAATGTATTTATTACAGATAAACCAATGAAGAATTCCGCTCAAAGGGCCAATCATTATATAGTCTACCCCACCTAACTAACAACACGATTCGAATCCGCCGCGACAACTTTTTAGAGCCGCATTAAAACTCTTTGGGGCAAAATTTATTTAAGCTGTCTACCGCTTAACACTCCAGTGGTGGCAAAGAAGTGGGTTCGGTAACGTCGCCGGATTCTCGGCAGCCAGTCAAACGGAGAACTTTTAAATTAACCCGAGTTGGAAAACTCCAGTGGATTGTCGCGGTTCCCCTGGCAAGATTTAGAAACCTAATTAATCTCAGGAAATTCGCTTAAAGACGAACCTGCTCCGATCTATCTGTCGAAGGGCGACGCTTAAAACGACAACTTTTGAACTTGCTTAATTTTTTTAAAGTGACAATTTCGTAGTTAACTTTTGTTGAGGCCATCTTTTAAACTTTTTTCGCGCTGAAGCAGGTGACAAATCATAAATACGACAGTTAAATATTTCCTTTCTTTTTTATATTAATTAACTATGGTGAAACTTACCCTCATCATTGTAAGTGATTTGAATCTCTCAGACCAAAATCCTGGTTCCGGTACTAATGCAAAAAAGAAATCTTGTAATTTAATTTCCTCGAATGGTAACTTTTTCATATATAAATTTATCACAAATCACGCCCGTTTGTCAAAACAGTAGCTTGATACATAAAAACTTTTTAAACAACATTCTGCAAGGTACAATAAAGGATCCGCATGAAAAAATTTAAATAATGGTATCTGCCAGATAAAATGATAAGCTATTATAATGATCACCTGAAAATAGTAGGTATTCAAAGCCGTCAGCGAGTTAGCTTTCGACGCACAAGTTTTCCTCTTACTACGTATTGCGCGTTGGCTAAATGTATTTCCCCAAGATACTCGTAATTATGAGCGGTCATACAAGCCTAAAGTTATCCTCACAAAATCACGATTTCCGTAAAGAGTTTTAATTTTAGAGGTTCCTTGAATATTTAGCTGTCAGGGAAAAATGTGTTTTCCTGCTATTTGAATAGACGACAGTTTTGGTCGTGCGGGGTGAACAACGGAGTGTCCACCCTCGGCGCCACCCTCGCGAGGACATTTGTAGTGACTTCCACATTTTTACCAGTGCCCGGTGATTTATTACTCTCCCATTATAAATCGTCCTGGTACGAATGATTTTGCTCATTTAATATCACGGATGATAAATTAAAATTATGATGCTTTCACGTCGTAACGCATTCTGTATAAGTAGGAGCATTTACAAAAACAATGGATGTCAAACTCGTGAAATTTTCCTCTATAGTTTTTCACGTTGTTTTTGTTTTGTTCGTTTTGATATTTTTGTAAATTACTTATGAAACGAGTAGTAACAACTTTTCAGATAATCAAATTTACAGTACTTTAAATTATAATTTAAGCTGTCTTAAATTGTAGAAAATATTATGATCAAATTGGATAAGGGCCACATAAAATGCACCAAAACGACCGCATACGTGCAGTGGCAGATAAATATTAAGAGGTCTGTGTTTATTTTCCTAGGATATAACATTTAAACAGGTGTGATCTTTAATTGTAATAATTCCTAACAATAACAAGAAACGAAATAAAATCAAAATTTAGATACCAACCTACTTACATTTTGGGGGTTTTTAGACGATATAGCGAAAAAAGTAAATTTCCAACAACCTCAAGCAAACGATTATTACTTCCATCGTCAGCGTAAGAAAAAAGCAATTACGTCCAAATAATGGAATGTAGAGTAGGTAGAGGAGAGGCGAGTAAAAAAACGCACTCCCTAATCTTGAGTAAACGACAGAAACATCATTAAACAAGAACCGCGGCTATTTCACCCCCCGTGCCAGGGAGATGATCCCGCAGGAGTCGACGGGACAGGGGGAAGGGTGTACTCGGGGCCGAATATCAACGAACTCATGTGCGGTACGTGTGACGGGCGACCGACACGCGTACGAGACTACCTATAGGTTCTGTTGGTAAACAATTCGGGGCCTGTTTCACGTAAATATTGTAATCGAGGGTCCATTTTTATTTTGCACCCCGCGAGGCGACCGCGCCGCGCTCGACGTGTCTATTCAAATTGGCTACATACATTATTCTATTGGAAGGATACGTTTGTTCTGTATGCCGGAACTAGGATTTATAAAAGTTTGGATCAAAAAGACAGTAGAGTTGTTTTAAAAGTAAATTTTTTAACTGTTATCTATGTTTTATAGCATTTTTTATATTAAATAGTAAAATTATTATTGTTCATATTTTTGATAGTTTGTCGATTGTTGCTATTAAAATATAATCAGCGGATGGATTTCCAAACACAACGGTCCTGGGATTGTTGCTAATTCGAAATTATTTTGTTTATATCTATAATGAGTTGAATAGGTTTCTTAGCAATTGTTATTTTTTTCAACAACATCCATTGAACGATGTCCGACAATTCAGCTTTAATAGAAGGAATTGTAATTATAAAATTTTATGATTCTGTCACGGAGACGCTAAGTAGCGACTGCGAAAAAAATAACGACAACACAATTTAACTTTAATGTGCGTCATAGGAGAAAATGCTTGTTTAGCGGAAATGGCATTGATTTGTGCAAGGATTTGCGTGATGAAGAATGCATTTGCTCTAAAACATTTGTCTATTTTTAGCAGTAACTTTTACTTTTTATAATGCAAATGGTTTGAGAATTATTATTTCAAACAACGATTATAATAGTTTGAACCAAAATATAGTTATAAATAATGGACTCTACATATTATAGTTTTCGAATTAATCAAAACTGTATCTCTATTTTGAATTCTTGAAAATATCTTTAGCAACTCTATATTTTGTGCAATTTATTGTTTAACTAGTGTGAGTTTTATAAATTTTGCCAAGGATATTAAGTGCGTTACTTATAAACTGATGCACTCAAACTATCACAGATTTTAATTTAAATTAAATCTGTGATTTTCTTTTGACACAACCCTTTCGTCAACGAAATTTTGTGCAATGATAACTATATTTTTATTAGGTACTGAATGTTATGATGTCATTAAGGTATTTCTACTAATGTACTGAATAGTAGGTATGTTAATAAATTACCTAAATACAAATATATAATATTACATATCATATTTTTCAGTTACAACAGATCAGTGATTTGCTGTTAAAATATATTTCATAATTAGTTACATCACTATTAAAGTACTTTTAAATGATTTCTTTTCGATATTATTAAAAAAAAACTGTATCTATTGGCAAAATAGTAAACAGATGAACTCTACATTACTCCGATTTTATTACATAGTTCTAAAGACTACGATATAGTTGGCCATTCAAAAATAAAAGTGTCCTATTGGGATAGTAAACACAGTGTTACTCACCAGTCTCGGTCGCCATGGCCGGGTGTTCTGAGGGCGGCACTGTGTCGGGGCGTGCGCGCGTACTAAACGTGTCCACTCCCGCGCATTCCAAGCGCGCGCCCACCGCGGCCGCCACTTTCGCGCCGAACACTACCGGTGCTTGAACGAAATCTCCTTGCTCGATTCTTCCTTTTTTTTCTAACGCTGCTGAATGCTCGAACTCTTTGGTCAATTTATATTTTGTTTTTTTTTTCCTTTTCAAACGATGCTCAATACTCAAACTCCTTGGGCAATATTTTGTTTTTTATTTTGTTATATCCCACTTTTTCGGTTGTAGTTTTCTCGACGCGTGCTTCTCATTAAGTACTTGGTTTGAAATGTTGGAACGTTCTTAAAAATATTTTTTCTCAGTGTTTTGATTTGTGTTTTGCATCTGTTGGGTAGAGATTTTGATTTAATGTTTTGTTGATTCGTATTTTACAGAAGATGTACTTAGGTTTTGGTTTTGGATCGAGCGGTGATATTTTCCGATTTCAGATTTCGTTTTGACGATCGCGAAGGGTAACAGGGCGGGTGGTAAATAAACGACTGTACGGATTTATGGAACACTGTGTAGTTGTAATGAAATATTAATGAAGTACTCAATAATAATAACAAAGTAATGAATCTATAAATTGGTAATAAATTAAACAATTATTTATCGATAGAAGGGGTTAAGAAAATATTAATTTCGGAATCAATTAATAAAAAACAAAAATTTTAATTGGACATTATTTTTCATAAAATTGGCAAAAATTGGTTAACTTTATTGCGAAATTGAGCAGTATTTTTTTGTAAACTGTTGAAGTTTAAGTGATTATTAGATGAATCAAATAAATTTTCAAAAATGAGCTACCTGGGTTTTAACTTGCAATCAGAATGATTGCATATTAATTATTTCTAATTGAAAAATAATTGCTGGAATTATCGATTCATTATTTATTATATATCTGTTGAATAATCGTACAGTCATTTATTACTAATATATTAATTAATATTTCACGTACTTACACCCACGTGACGCAATATGGATTGTTCAATTAGCACAAGTATGTGTTCACACACACGATCACTGCATTGATTGCGGCTGGCGACGTGCGCTCGGCGGCGGCCGTTAATTTAGAGGGCCGGTGCAACGATCGATGTCGCGCCCTGCACCGCCACAATAAGGGAGGAGCGGCCAGATAGAAATCAATACGATGTCCATCATCGCATGCACCCTCCCCCCGGCCCGCACCGCCTGCGCCTTGCACCCGCCGGGAAATGCATTTTCCGCGACTCCGCCGCCCTGCACCCTTCCGCGTCTGAATGCCGACCGTCCGCCGGTGTTTACCCGAAAATATGGACGAGAGTGAATTTTTTTGCAATGTCCGGCGTCGGATGCACCGCTCGGTCCGTTCCGTTAGCGATTCGTACCTGACGCACGCGTGCGTACCGTTGCGCGTCACGCGGGCGACTGGCGCCCCGCCAGTCGGGCCGAGAATAAACAGCGTGGGGCGCGGGGGGCGGGGCGGTGCAGCGCCTGCACGCCCACAGCGGCCGCCCACGGCACCGGCCGCCGGACACGCCGCGCCGGACGCCGGACGAGGCACGCCGGACGCCGGACACGCGCGCCGGACGCTGCGCCGCTTTTCAGGCTCGACCAGCTCACCACCGCGTGTCATTGCTCTCGCTTTCGATGGCGTTACGTATTTTCGTTTACGGAAATGGACATTATCTGAGCGATATGAGCGTCAGCTGATTGATAAAGCCTCTCTCGTGAATAGGATTGCCGGTGTGCTTTTCGCATGTTAATTATTATGTTTTATATTTTCAAGAGGATTGTACGACACTGTATGACATTTACTTTCAAATATTTAATAACTTTTAAGTACTATTTTGTTTTAATACTTATACTATGAAAATTTCAAATAAGGTATAAGGAATTGATAGTTTTTTTGCATAAGTACATCAATTCTACAAAAATAGTAAATAGAAGTTAGCTAATAAGCTATGTCGATTGAGTTTCGCAAAAATAATATCCAAGTATATCTTTGTAGAGATATCGCATCGGTTAGGCAATATCTGTGGACGAAAGACAAGTCTACGACGGAGGGGTGCAGGAACAAAGATTAATAGCACTCTTACCCCCCTCCCTCCCTCTCACCCCCTCCGTCCCTGCGTGCGGGAATAGCGCGAAAACACAGTTTAAAAATGTAGAGTCGGGTGCACGCTGCGCCCTCGAGGCGGACGGAATGTCACCAGCTTACATTTTGATAACATTATAGATTTAATTATTGAGACAAACACAGCATGTTCTGCTAACATTTTCCTTTTATTTTGATATACTTCTGGTGATAATTATATACTTCCGTACTACGTCTTACAGAATATCCCACAAGATCTATGCATTATCTTAGAAAATTTTGCAAAGCCTGTGCTTTGTAATTAATATTTTATTTTACTTTTTACGTCATATTTTATTTTTTGATTTCAAGTACCACGTAATCTCATATCAACTCCCGAGCGAAACCGGGTACAATAGCTAGTAATAACATATAGATAATATTTTTTGTACCTGTTGAGAGAAATGGCCAAAATATAACTATAAGTGTCACGTAAGATAGAAAAAAATCTCCCATCTGCGATTCATTTTGGCTTGCACTGCAAAAACATTAAAAGTAATACGAATATAATGTAGAGTGGAAATGTATCTCTTAAATAGTCCTACAAAGAAGTCCGCGGCAGCATGTAAGTATCTATTTTTAATGTGTTAGCCATTATCGCTAAATTAGTGAATCAAAAATAAAATATTATTTGATATCCATTTCCAAAATGCACATTAATAAAATTCATATTTTATGCAAAAGAAATACTTTTATTAAAGTGATGACAGCAAATGACAAAGTGATAGCGCGGTGTACTATGCAGGAGTAGACTGCGGGAATGGTAGGAGAAGAAAATTTTATGAATTTTGATGTAATATGTAGATATAACCTAGGAAGAAAAGAAAAAAATAGGCTTCTCGCAGTATCTAATCCCATACGAAGGACTTACAATAAAACTGTATGTAAATAAATTAACATGAAAGGTATTTAAGATTATTAAAATTTAATGAAAAACTCTGAATTCTATTGTTTTTAAAGTTTATTTTAACGATATTACTTAATGTTACTAAAGGGTTACTTAACATAATAAAATTAACCTATTGTTCGCTAGTAGGTACATACTTACCTAATGGAACCTGTCTTTATTATTCAGCTAGCGGTAATGTTCATTTTGTGATTATAAACGATAATTCTGCAAAATTATAAGCAAATAATATAAAGTTTTATAGGTAAATCACTCCCTTAGGACTCCATAGGAAACATCCCTTTTCATCACCCTACCCTATATCTATAGCGAAATTCATCATATAGTTTTTTTTTCATATTATTCTTGTTTAATTATTTTACAAGTTGTCTCATAAGTAGGTTTATTAAAATTTAATTCAAATTTTAACGTGTTTAATAATATACGCGGGCGCGTATATAAAGGCGCGGGCAGAAGTCGGAAAGAGGAAGCAAAGAAGGATAGTAAAGATAAAAGTAGGTATATAAGAAAATAGGGAGGTGAAAAACAAAATAGAGAAAAGTTAATTCACAATAGAAATACAATACTCGTTTGCTTCGAGTTGGCCGTCGATGACCAATCACAGGCACATCAACTGGTACCATTCTCCAATAAGACATCATATAGATTTAGCTATTAGGGCGCAAAAGCGTAACAAATAAACTTACTACTACATCTATAATATGATATTAGTGATCCGCCAACAAAGCTGCTTTCACAGTCGGGACCCATTATTGAAAAAAATGGGTCCATTCTTGAATATCTAATGGATCCCGACTGTTAAAGTAGATTTGTAGTACTTAACAGAATTATAGACTATTGGACTTATTTCTGTTTAGTTTTTATTTCAAGTAAAATTGAAGCATTCGGGTTTTTTGATTTGTTATTTTTTTTTAATTGTGTCTTCAAATTAAAAATCGTATACTGTTATGGATGGATATTATTGGGTATTGTCACTCATTAACAGCACATTTTTACAAAGAAGTTTGGTAGTTGTATGGACATTGGAAACGAAGAAGATACAACTTGTTCATGAAGAAGCTTGTTCACTCCTCAGCATAGTATTTTTAAGATTCTCATGACTACATGAAATTCAGAATTTTCGGGGTCGAGTTTGATAAATTTTTATTTGCGCTTTTCAGATATAAAGGAAAATTTTTTGTCGCGATAACAAAACTGGGGGGTGAAAAGCAGGTGTTTTTTTATGAAAAATCTACTTACAGCGGTATTGACTCTAGATTTTGTCTAGAAAGAACAGATTCAGAGATTTTCTGATAACAAACAAACGTAATTACACTAATATTATAAAGGCGAAAGTGTGTGGGTGTGTGAGTGTGTATGTTTGTTACTTCTTCACATCTAAACGGCTCGAGCGATTTTAATAAAATTTGGTATGGAGTTAGCTGACACCCTGGATTAACACATAGGCTAAGTTTTACTGCGGGAAATTATCCCTAATAAACCGTGGGTAATATATAGGTAAGACCTCCACGGCCGAAAGATTTTACCAGGACCAGTCTCGCTGAAGATTCAGGTCCCCACTGCTGGGGCACAGGCCTTCCCTATGGATGGAATAGGGCGATTGGGCCATGACCCACCACACAGCCCAATGCGGATTAGCGGGAGCTAACGGCTGCAGATGCAGCCGGGACCAACGGCTTAACGTGCCTTCCAAAGCACGGAGGAACTCGAGATAGATTTTTGGTCACCCATCCAATGACGGACCGCTGCGAAAGTTGCTTAACTCCAACGAACGCAGCCGAACGCGCTAACCACCTGCGCCATCAAGCTCCTCAATCATAATAATGAAATATATAAATCACTGTTATTATTTACATGAATTGGATTGCTCGCCACACGTTAAAGAAAAAAAAATCTTTTATATTTAAATGTTACAAAAATTACTTCTTTAAGATTACTTATTTCCTAAAGTCAATTATTGTAAGCCGGCACGCATTAACCTTTAACAGTGTGACTGTAAGTATAAGTAGGCTTAATGGGGTAAATTTACCGCTGACTCAGTGCACACCCGTGCGTCAGCCTTGCTCGCCCCTATATAAGCCAGTACAGACAGCCACAAGTCGTGTTAGGTGCCCAAAACTGATAAATTTATCCAAATGACTTAATATATTAAAACGGTGGCAAATAAACATATGGCCCGTCTGATGATGAGAAAGGTAGAACATGGCTGATTTTACGCTCGAATTGGAGCGCCCGTCTGGAGAAGTTAGCTCCACCTTACAGAAATCATATAATTACCTAATCTTTGCCTCAGTGGAGACCTCACATTTGCGAGACTCAGGGACACTGGGGCCCCGGTGCCCACCATCTTTTCAAAGATATCGCGAAAAGAGCCGCAGAGCTGGCGGCTATTTCGCTCAGCGCATAAGCCTCGCCATTCAGCGGGGAAATGCCGCTAGCGTCCTGGGAACCTTTGCCGACGGGGAAGACTTAGGGCAGCTATTTTTTTTAATATTTTTAATTTTTGTCTACCTTTAGTGTAGTTTTAGTTTAATATCTAAATGTAAATTGTTGCCTTACAGAAGATTACAGTAAAAAATACTACCTTTGGTTTTGGTGGTGTTGTGGTTCTGTCGGTGTGTAATGTTCCAGGGCTTGACGGGGTAGGGGATTTGAGTGTGGGTAGTGTGCAGTGCCGCCTTTGACCTATTGGAGGCCTTGGGCATATTAGGATTATGGGGCCCCTATGACCGTTTGGTGATTTAACAGGAACTAGGGACTTTGTATTTGATCTGAGGGGCCCCCCTATCGATCGCGGGGCCCTGGGCACTTGCCCAAAGTGCCCAATGGGAAAGACGGGTCTGGTAGTGTGGCAACGGTGCGAGTGGTATTTTTGGTATATAATCATAATAACCATAGTCAAAATCATTTATTCAGTTTAGGCTGTTACAAGCACATATGAAGAAGAAGTCTAGAAGCTACGCCATCGGTTTGTAAATCTACGGCGGGAGACCTTGTACTGAGAAGAACCGGCAAGAAACTCAGCAAGGGCTGTTTTTTTTTCCCTGTTTTATCGTTTGCAGAGTCGTCAAGTTGAAAAATGACTTTTGAGATGATTCATGAAGTCACCATTAATTACATAATGTGAAATTATACATTAATTGTTCATCTGCATTTTGCTTACTGTGTCATACAGTATAAATACAGACAGAGTTATTTATAATAGGTGTAATTAAACATTTACATCTTAAATATCAAAGTAGTTAGGGCAGACTCATCTCCGCGTCATATCAAGCGTTTATGGCCCTGGGCATATTAGGATAATGGGGCCCCTATGACTTCCGTTTGATGATTTAACAGGAACTAGGGACTTTGTATTTGATCTGAGGAGCCCCCCTATCGATCGCGGGGCCCAATGGGAAAGACGGGTCTGGTAATGTGGCAACGGTGCGAGTGGTATTTTTGGTATATAATCATAATAATCATAATCAAAATCATTTATTCAGTTTAGGTTGTTACAAGCACATATGAATGTCTAGAAGCTACGCCATCGGTTCGTAAATCTACGGCGGGAGACCTTGTACTGAGAAGAACCGGCAAGAAACTCAGCAAG